GTTTAAAGCCATTACCCCTTGTCCTATCATTACATGCCCTTCTAAAAAGTCCCTCTCCATCTTTCTTGTAGGCCCCCTTTAGGTACTTGAAGGCTGCTACAAGGTATCCTTGGACCTTTCTCTTCCCCAGGCTGAACACCCCCAAATCTTTCAGCCTGTCCTCATAGGGGAGGTGTTCCAATCCCCTGATCATCTTTGTGGCCCTTCTCTGGACTCTCTCCAGCAGGTCTGTGTCCATCTTATGTTTGAGGCCCCAGAGCTGGACACAGTACTCCATGTGGGGTCTCACCAGCATGGAGTAGAGGGGTAGAATCACCTCCCTTGACCTGCTGGTCACATTCTTTTGATGTAGCACAGGATACAGTTGGCTTTCTGGATTGTGAGCACGCATTTCCAGGTCACGTTGAGCTTTTTTTCAACCAACACCTCCAAGTACTTCTCCACAGGGCTGCCCACAATCTACTCATTACCCAGCCTGTATTTGTGCTTGGGATTGCCCCAACATATGTGCAGGACCTTGCACACTTGGCCTTGTTGAATTTATGAGGTTTGCAAGGGCCCATCTCTGAAACATGTCAAGGTCCCTCTGGATGGTATCTCTTCCCTCTAGTGTGCACTCAGTTCCATTGTCCATGTTGCCAACAAAGGTGTTAAACAGCGCCGGTCCCAACACCAACCCCTGAGGAACGCCACTTGTCACTGGTCTCCTCTTGGACATCTTGCTGCTGATCACAACTCTTTAATTGCAAACATCCAGCCAATTCCTTATCCACCAAGTGGTGCATCAGTCAAATCCATGTCTCTTCAATTTAGAGACAAGGATGTTGTGCAGAACAGTGTCAAGTGCTTTGCACAAGTCCAGGTAGATATGTCAGCTGCTCTTCCCTTATCTGCCAATGCTGTACCCCTGTCACAGAAGGCCACTAAATTTGTCAGGTACGATTTGCCCTCTGTGAAGCCATGCTGGCTGTCACCAGTCACCTCCTTATTTTCCATTAGATGGGTAGTAAATGGAGTAGAACAACTCATTTACAACAAGTAATTTTATTTTTTTAATTCAGTCTTCTTTCTTAGCTAGAGAAATATCTGCAAGCAATTTGAAGTCTGCTTCTGTCTGAGTTCTAAGAGAACCCAGTGGAACATCTAAATGCTAAATAGTCTGTTGAGTGAAATAGTGAGGTACCTGAGAGGAAAAGAAGATGCCAAGGCATGAATATGCCAAAAAATTTTTTATGTCAGATATAACAGGGTGATTTTCATTCTACGCTCTGCCTACAGAATGCAAATCAGAGGCCACAGTCTTTTAAGTTTTTCCCCTTGTCATCTGTTTTTATTTGTGGGAACATTCTTCATTACATTCACTCTGTCTGGACAGGAGATACCATAGTAGGCTCTTGATGGCATTGCATTCTGTTTGTGCTTCACCAAGATATTACTTTCAGTGGGATGTTTATTTCTTTTCTTTTCTTTCTTTGTTTTCTATCCCTCAGCAGTAAGTCTTTACAATTCTATTGATGTCATGTTCTGAGCCTTTTTTTTTCCTCTTCCCTCTCCCTATCTGTTCCTACCCTTTCCTCTATTCCCCCTCAGTCTCTCTTTTGTCTTGTGTCTCCTCTGTTGTTTTGACTTCCAACTCCTTGCCATGAATATAGCTTGTCATTTATTTTCCTTCTGTTTGGAGAGAAGGCTTGGAAGCTGTGAAACTCCTTTCTGGATCCCTTTGTTCTGTTCATGTCCTTAACCTATTTTTTTCTCCAGTGTTCTTAGCATACTAGTGGTTAGGAGATTTTTGTGCTTGTCTTGCAGAATAATAAGTGTTTTTCTCTCCACTCCAAAAATGTTCCAAGTTTTCAGCAGCTTCAAACCTTCCTACCTTGTAGAGCTTCTTTTTATGCCCTCAGTGATTGACTCCATTCTTGTTCTCTTCTTCACGTGTCTTGTTCATTCTTTTTGTTCAGCTGGTTCATTTTCACATGTGCAGTTTGGGGTCTTGATGCCATCATTTCCTAGAAAATAGGAAGGAGGGAGAGGAGAGCATCATAGGCCATATATCCTAGACATGGCATAGGAAAGAGCTGTATGGTGAGCAGAAGCTATTCTATGAATCTTGTAGGATTAAGGACCCAGTATAAGATCACAGTTCAGTATTTTTTCTGTGTTCAGTATTTATAAAGTGGGTGGGAAATGTCAGCTGGCCCACCACATCCTCTCCAAAATGCATTAACATATAAGCAAGTTTGTAGTTTTCCATGTTACAATTCTTACTAAGACACTATACCTGTAATACGATGCTGTTCTGGCTTTATTGCATTCTATGCTAAAGCAGTTCTAGTGGCTGACATCAATGTAGATACTTCATAGACAACATGAAAAAAGGTTGCTCTAGTGGTATGGTTTCATTTGATATTTTATGGAATCACTTGAACTATAGCTCAGTGTAATTAAAATGTTACCTGGAACTTGGGTATAGTACAATATATTTTGATATTGCATCTGTCTGCAAGATTCTAAAAATCTTGATAAACTTTTGAGCTAACATTCTTGTTATCTCAAAAAAATCTTTATCGTCTTCACTTGGATAAGATGAAGGGAAATAAAGCAAACTGGTTTCTAATTTGTCAATTATTTTAGTTTAGTGTGTTCCCCACAGACTCATTTTGCTAGGCTATGAAGTTTTACCATGCTATAGTATTCCAAGTCCCAAAATATTGTGATATTCTGGAGATCTTTTTCTATGACTGAGGCAGATTGGGAAGATACCTTTGAGATTAATTAAGACCAATTTAAAATATCTCAGAGGTTTATGGAAGTCCTTAAAGTCTTCCTGAAGCAGCCTGTACCGGTTAAAATTTCCTACTTAAGGATGTGCAATATATTTAAAGCAACCTGAATTTGTTTCTTCCAGACACTAGTTACAAAGGCAGAAATGTAACAAATGTCAAATAGCATAGTTATGTTATAGTAGAAATGTTTCTTCAGAAAAATATTACTTAGAGGTTAAATTGAAAGTAAAGGCAGCATTTCAGAATCTTAAGAAAATTCACAGAGCAATAAAATCTTCACTTATTTCTATCAGACGATGAATATCAAGAAGTGTTTATTTTATTGTTTGGAGGGAATTGTTTCTTTTAACCTTTTTGCTATTGTGAATTTTTATTCAGTAATGTATTGATTGTATGAGTATATGGGTTTGTATCACACCTAAGAGGACTCATTTTTAGTGAAGATACAGTGTTTGATATTTATACAGTCACAGTTCAATGTAGGATGGGGCTCTGAGATAGGGTTCATCTGATTTCTAAGACTCACTCAGAAATGTCAGGTAAGGTGAAATGTAATCCATTTTGCATTTGCTACTGCAGGACAATCTATGTCACCACCTCTGATATGCAGTGATATGATCTTCAAAAATATATTTTGTCTAACACAGTGTACTTTTCATACAATATCACTGATCTGATCAACCCAATGGCAAGAGATATTTAATAAACATGCTTGTAATTCAAGCTAATAACGTGCTAGCCATTTTAAGGAAGATACATTTGGTGAACAGTAGTTTCACAATGCTCGAATTCAGGACGTGCTCTGTGAATTTATTTAACTATTTAACACTTCCAAACAGGAGCAAGCTATATAGGTATAAATTCATAACCTAAATCTGACAATAAAATATTCTGAACATTACTGTATGTTTAAAAAAAACAAAACAAAACACCACCCTTCTCTTCTTTGTATCTAAAACAAGTTAATGGAAGCAACTAGAAATAAGTATGTAGATTTGAAATCTCTGAAGTGTTTTGATTCTTTACACAACTTGTGATTGTTTGATATTGGTTGCTTTTAGAAGAAACAGAATAGTTTTTTTTGGAAGCATAGGTTAAAAACATAAAGCTGCTAACATCAGCTCTGACAAAAGTGACAGTGACTATGTTCAAAATAAAAAAAATTCAAGATATGTGATAAACGTTTGAAACCATGCCTAGTAAACTGTGCCAGTCATTTGAGAATGATCTTACCCAAGTATGTGTTAATTTTGCAACTGAGTTAATGAAATATTTTAATTCACTTTAAATTCACCAAGGTTTCTTTAATCTTTAAAGTGAACACTTCCTGACAGTAAACACATTGCAAATGTGACACAGGAAAAGGGAGAGGAGAGTTCATATAGGTATAAGGTTCAGTTGTAGCAAAAGTGCAGTGAAGGCCAGCTTTTTATTTGAGGTTTTATAGCTTCTGCTGTAAATATTGGCATAAATGACACATATTGTAGAGCAATGGCATATGTTGCTTTTGAAAGACAGACATTTTCACTTATTCAGTGAATTGAGGCCTCAAGTTACTCCCTGAAGACCATGTCATACCCCTTTTTCAACCTCTCAGGACCGATGACTTATCCAAACCAAACATCTGCTTTTCCAGTCAGTGCAATTATTCACTGTGTTACTGGGGGCAGATGGTTGTTAATCGGCAGATCATTAATGTGGCAGGCCACTCTTTCTTTCTAGCCTTAGAAAGGTCACAAGGTGTTAAGTTCCCTGGGTCCAGGCTGGTAAGATGCATATCTTTTGGTTCAGTTGAATTTTTGATGTATAACTGCCACTGAATTACTTGATACACCTATGGAGGAGCTTTTAATTAAACCTTTTTTCCTCTAAAAAAAATAAATATTGTTTTTACACTGTAAGAATGATGTAACCAAGAGATGGCTAGTGTCAATTACATTGTGGCTGTCAGAAAGTTTGAATACTGAAATCTGGTGAGTGTGAATCCTAATCAGATAGCAGTGAGGATGCTCAGCTGCTACTCTTAACACAGTCTCCAGCTATATGTGTCAATTTTCTGCAGAATTTAATTTAGTCCTAATGATGAAGAAATCTCTCTATTCACACAGTCCTGTCAAGTCAAACTTTGGACAATTTAAATGAAGTAGATGACGGCTTCAGGGAGAAGTGGCAGAGTGACAAGCTGAAGAGATTTCACTTTCTTTTCCATTCATGCAGGTTATATTGAGGAAGCCTGTATTATTCCATGCCCCTCAGACTGCAAGCTCAGTGAGTGGTCCAACTGGTCTCGCTGTAGTAAATCCTGTGGGAGTGGGGTAAAGGTTCGGTCTAAGTGGCTTCGTGAAAAACCCTACAATGGTGGAAGACCCTGTCCAAAGCTAGATCATGTCAATCAGGTAATTTTATTTACATTATTGACATAATACAGTTTTTCCATACCACAGGTAACCCTTTTAGCTGTATTATTTGTTAATGTAGAAAAACTGTAGAACAGAAGGAGCAGATGCAGGTGGAAGGAGGAGTATGTGATGGCTTCAATTTCCTCAGTCAACAAAGGATCTGCCTTCATTACTTCCTCATGTGCAAGAATTTAGCACATTATCTGAACTGCAGATTCCAGACAATAAAACGTTCTTACATGCAGATTGTGAAGACCACATTTCTGAAGATCTCCTTTTACAATAGGTAAAATGTCTCATTACAGATGCTCAAACTGGTAAGATTCTTAGTGTCATTCCCTTATCACCTTAGATCAGAAAACAAATTTAAATTTCTCATACGCTGTTATCAAACACTCACACAGTATCAACCCAGTAACCCTTAGTGGGTTTTAGTCAAGCTGGAGCTTGACCTTACAGGTACCCTGCAGTTCATCAGGAATGCACTTCTGGAGTCAATCTCCCAGTTGTTCCACTAACTGCACTTGATTTTCCAGTAGGAATTAATCTGGCTTCACAGTCTGGATCCTCTTCAAGTGAAACTAAGCCAGAAAATATGATCCAAGAGCACACTGGGAGTGCTTTGGCCACTAATGAGCATTTAGTCTTTAGGACCAAGTTTAGCACTAGTCCAAGTCAAACCCCTGAAGCTTGTTTGCTTCTGTTGGCTTGAAGAGTTTTAGAAAGAAAAACCTTCCTTGTCAATTAACTTATGTTCTTCAGAGTTGATATATATTCATATTACTGTTGAATTCAATTTAGTCTGCAGAGGCATGTTAAACAGCCACATGGTCTTCTCTCTAAATATTCAAAGACTGAAAAAATCTGTGCTGTCAATTTACATTTGAATATAAATGCATGTCCTTAATATTATCCTATTGACATTTTGCTAGCAATGAGTGAAATGGCTTGTTGATCTAATTTTCTACTTTAGAGAATGTAATTAGTTCTAATTTAGAAAATAATACGTGTTAAACTGCAGCTAATATACTAAGTTTGTGATCTATTTTAACAAAATACAAACTAGAATGAGGGTTGCTAGATTTGGGTCAGCATGTAAATATGCTTTAAATTAAGAGGAATGTGTTTCAATAGGATTAAATTATAGACTATACAGAAATCTTCTTCCTTCATTAATATTCATGTAGTACATAATAAACTTGTATTTTTCTCCATCAAAGGTGATTTTGCTGTGTTAGCCACTTGTATGCAACACTATTGCCCTCTACTGGTACTTTGACTCAAATTTGATTTGTTGCAACTTTACATGGTATTTGCCAAATATTACATTATTTAAAATGTAATTATTATAAAAATAAAATTGAAATATAGTACTTTCATGAGAAAGGAGCTTTACAGATAAGTTAGGAATGTCGAAGAATATAGAGGCTGTATCTTTTAATTGCATTCACTGTCAATTCAAAAACACGCAGGAAATACATGTGCATTCTAATTTTGAGTTAATTATTTATTCTAAATGTGATCCACCATTTATTAAGTGGAAAACTAATGACTCTTCAGAATATTTATTTCAATTATTAAAGGTAAGTTGTTTTATTTATGTATTTATTACTTAGGTATGTAACATGTTTATTGGCATACATACAAAGCGTAATGGTTAGACTGGGTCTTAGGTTCCCTCAAGTTTGTGGAGGATAATGTACAGAGGGGCTATTCTGTAAACTGAGATCTGGGAATTACGAACTCTGAGGAAAGACTGCAACGTGTTGTCTAGCCCATGGAAGAGAAGATGGGAGCAATGATGCTGGCACTCTGCTAGCATGTACATAAAAGGCTGTTTCAAAGAAAGAGGGAATAATTCATTTTCCATGCCCATTGTGAATAAGATAAAAAGCAGTAGGCTTAGACTTCTGCAAGCAGATTTGGGTTAGCCTTGGGAAAACTTTGGTACGGCTAGTGAGACATTGAAATAAAGTGGTTAAGATGTTTGTCAAGTTTTAAGACGAAGGTGCTTGTCTCTCAGGGATGATATGTATGACTGTATTTTGGAGTGGGACTGAACACAGTGAATGCTAGATGTCTCATTGAACGTCCTTCCTCCTGGGCCATGCATGCCAGGATGAATCCCAAACCACACTCCAAATGAATAAAGCTTGCTCAGTACTCACTTCACTAGGCTAAAAGTCTTCATAATTACAGTAATAATAGAATCAGATTTATTATAAAATCATTTCAATGGTCTTCAGAGGATTTCAAATGAAGAGGCTAATCTGAGACTGTTAGAGAAAATAAGGACATCTTTCTCTTCATTGGCTCCAGGCATTATTTGGCTCCTTATCCAGCAGGTGGGCATGCAATCCTTACCCTACTCAGATGCTGTGGCCTACAGTCATAGTTACAAAAATGTCAGTAGGGTCAGAACACCACTAAACATGTGCAATGAAATATAGAATATTCCTTTGGATTTCTGGCAACATATCCACTTTTTATGTTACTGGAAAGGCTGTTGGATATGCAGAATTTATGTATTTCTTCTTATGCCAATCAGGTTGAGACATATAGAGACATTTCCCTAAATTAAGGCTTCCCTATTCTCATTTTAGAAGTCCTGGACAAGAATAAAGTGCCACTTCCCATGTAATTACAAATGATGCACTGACTCCAGTACCTTCCTTAATGTGGATTTACACCAACCATCTTTAGTTCTGAGTTAATGCTTATGCAATTCAAAGAAGGCCCAAATTTGCTGACTCTGCTGGTCTTCCTGTGCATGGGCTGATCAGCTGCATAGTAATATATCAGACTCTCTACGCATACATTGTCCAAGGAACTATTTTTTTTTGTGACTGGTGGTATTTTGTTGAAAGTTAACTGATCATCTTTTCTACCCAAGCAGTGTTGTTGAAAAGAAATCAAGGACTTGTTTAAGACAATGTCTTAGATTGTCTAGAAATATTAGTTGTGCTGACTTGATACCCAGAATGTGAAGCTAGTTGGTATAAGATAATTTTGAGGCAATGGTCTTTAAGTAATCTATGCATAATTAAGATACTCGGTGAAGGACTTGGGAACTTTGGAAGGATGAGAACTGCCAGTTCCTTTTCTTCCCCTAATTATATTGTACTTAATGCTGTCAGAACAATTTAAATTAATAGAGAAGTCTGGTACCCTTCAAAACCACTGAGGATTTTCTCTTCTCTTAGGGAAACTGGATTCCCTACTTTGTGAAGAGTTGAAGCTCATTATAGGCAAAAAAGGAAAACACTCTTTTGTGTTAGGGACTGAGAAAGAGACTAGCTAATTTACAGTCTCTTCCCACTAGTAGTGATTTATAAACTTTTTTTCCAAGGACAAACTTCTTGCAAAAATGCCTCATGACAGCAAGGGAGATCCAAAAGGAAAAAACTGGATGCATTTTGTTTGACAGAAGTCATAGCATATTGTTTGTAGTAAAAGCTAAATAAATGTCATTTAAGTACCTATACTTCACTCTAATCATTCTTTCTTTTTATCTTTGGCTTTTCTTTTGGGTTCATGAAAATATTTTCTTCAGGCTCAGGTAAGAGTTTCTAAAATAAAGAGAGAACCTTAATATGTGCTTCCTGGTTATGCTCTAATGTTTATATTGTCTGTCCTTTTTTGCAATGTATGTTTGAGAAAATACATAGAACATTGTATAAATTAGTATATGAGATACTATTTCAAATCTTTATTCAAATCTAAACATAATACTAATGCTGGTACACAAATGTATTAGAATGATTTTAAGTATCCATGATGAAAAATAAAGTGAAACTATATATATTGGCATAATTTACCTTGAGCACACCTTTCTTTAGAAATACAAAAACCTCACAACTAATAACAGTGGAATGGAATAGTTGAGCAGAGATGTGAGGGACAGGAGTAAAATTTTAGCAGAATTTTATCAGCATTTTTCTAAAAGGTATACCTGTGACCTAGCCCAGTTACAGATTTTATACTACTGTTGATGTTATTGGTGGAAATGGCTTAGCATGGGCTTAGTGGCAGAGAAAACCAGGGAATCTCCCGTTAGAAGTCTTAGCTCCTGACTTTTTATTATTTCTGTAGTTTTATATCAAGTATTTTATCAATATTATTACAACAACCTCTAAATCAGCAAGTTTACATTTGTTATTCTTAACAAAAGAGCATTAACCTTCTTTTGCATGATCACTGTTGCATGTTTGTCTTACTCGTGTGCAACAAAACTGACACTTGATGTGGATTCCAGGTATATGAGGTAGTCCCTTGCCACAGTGACTGCAGCCAGTACGCATGGATTACTGAGCCCTGGAGTGTCTGCAAGGTGACCAATGTGGACTTAAAAGAGAACTGTGGAGAAGGTGTTCAGACGAGGAAAGTCAGGTAAAACAGTATTGCTCCTTCTTCACTTTAGAGAACATTCACTTTCAGTCATGGCTGTATTTAATTTGTTGTAATTCTGTGTAATGTATCATGTTAAGTCCAGTCACAGTATACTGGACCAGAACCTTGGCTGATATAAATCAGAATAGCTTCAGTGAGTGCAATATGGCTCTGTCTACTGGTTATGGATATAGACCTTTACTTCCTAGTTTATAAACTAATGTATATTGTACTTATACTACTACAAACACTGTAATGTATGATTTTAATGCTTTTCTGAAAGGTGAAATTGCCCTCTTTCTATATGAAACCATGATTTAAAAAACCCTTTTAAGTACATATGCACTTGGGAATAATAGTTAGACATATTACAGGAAAAAGTGGCAAAAGTAAATGAAGTGAAACAGAAAAATCCAGAAATCTGTTGGCTATTGAATCTGATCTAGGTATCTTCTATGCTTTCTCATCATCCTAGAGCTCTAATCAAAGGTTAATCAAAATTAGTCTCACATAGTGTGGTACAATATCAGGTAAAGCAGTACATGGAGTTTGAGTTGGTTGGGCTTTGTTTTGTTTTTTTTTAACAGCTAACCACAAAATGACACACAATTTGAGATTATAAATCTGAATAATAAAGCATAATGTGAATTCCAGTTTGAAGGTCCAAACTGAGAGCTGTATACAGTGTACTGCTAAATGTTCTGTTTAGTTTAGAAACTGGCACATTTATATGATCTTGCTCACAATAGCACTGTGTCCTCAATGTAACACCATTTATTTCAAGATGATCAAAGTCTTAATCTTGCTTGATCAGTTAGAAAGACTATGCATAACTGTTCTCACACAGTAGCATCTAAACAAATTCCCCTAAAAATACTCTTTCAAAGGCCTCCAATATGAAAAATCAAAATTAATCGGTGTTTATGTTGAAAAATAGACTTTAACACTATCATCAAAGATAAAGAAAGAGTTTTCAGCCCTTTAAGACTAAAAACCTCTAACTTTTCATTTTTTATCACATAATGCTATTAAAGTACTAATGCCACAAAGCTAGTATATGCTCATGCTGTATCTCTTGTGTTTGCTTTAGAACAGAGAGTGTTTCAAAGATTAGTTTAGTCAGATAATGTAAGATACCTGTAAAAAAATTAATGTGGTCAAATGGAAGAGTCTCCAAATATTTCTCTGTGTGTGAAATATCCTATTGATATGAGCTTTTCACTTGCGATTTGGGAAAATAGATGCAACCACCTTAATTTGAATGATCCTAGGCATGTACTAGTTGGTCTTCTGCCGACAGGTGGAAGGGGTAAGGTAACAGCAGATGCTACAGCATTGGAAATACTGTGGAATGAAGACTGCCATCTTCAGCTCTACGAAACCAAACATATTCATTTCTCATCTTAACTGGGCCTCCATCTGCTAATTTAATATAATGGTAATTTAAAAGCATCTGTGTAAATTAGGGATTAATACTAAGAATGTAAAATTTTAAAAGTTTTAATACTTCTAGATTTAAAATTATCAGTCAAAGCATGCACAAAATAGGTCTAAACTATAGATGTTTTGCATTATTTTGGCCTAGAAATAAGCTAATGTCAAGTAAATCACCTGCCCAGAAACTCTCAGCAAATCACTGATAGAGACTCTCTAAGTTCTGTGCATTTATATGACTGTCATCTGTAAAAATGATTATTTTTGACTCTTCAGATTTTCCTGGATATTCACAGATCAATACTTAGTTCTGTTATTTTTATTACTTCATGATTGTTATTGGCTTACAAAATGTAAAAATGCTTCAGAATAGTGTGGAAAACAGTTACTGTACAAAGTCCACGGCAAATGCAGTTTACGTGCAGTTCCTTTTTCCAGGTGCATGCTAAATACTGTGGATGGTCCTTCTGACACTGTAGAGGACTATCTGTGTGATCCTGAAGAGATGCCACTTGGTGCTAGAAAATGCACATTACCATGTCCTGAAGACTGTGTTATGTCTGAATGGGGATCATGGTCTCGATGTTCTTTGGTAAGAAGTATACTGAAGTGTAACATGTATACTTTAAAAATGTATACATGACACATTGTGCAAAGATAACGACTTGAGCAGTGATTACACGTTTAAATATCTATTTTTACTGTCATCTTTAGGGTTGCTGATAGCTGGTTGCAAATAAAGTGTATCAGTATTTTCCATTAAGTGAAATTGTTCCAGACCACAAAATATAATGTTGCCTGTGGTCATTCTTCATTGTGGGGTGGGTTCTGTGTGGAAGAATGGCTTTGGCGGTGGCTTGTGAGTCTGTCTGAGTCTAGCTGTGAGCCTCTCCATAGAAGTGCAGTCACTGTACTAAAAATGTCACTATCCTGGAACGAACAAAGTGTGTAGACCATGACTAAACATAGAAAGATAATTTTGGGTCTTGTCTCCCCTTCCTGACAGCAATTTCAAAAAGAAATGTCAAAAAAAACAGACCAAACATAAAAAAGTGTTTCAGGACCTCTGAGTATTTGGGCTTTGGTGCACTACATTATAGCATTTGGAAAGTGAGCATCTCAATATCCAGTTTATGAGTAAAATAATTCCAAAGCACTAGTAATGAAATATGAACTAGTTAGGAAAGTACTGAGTTGTTACGAAGTTAGAGGATATTTCACCTTGAGTGGTACCAAGGTGAAAGAGCAGACCAAATTCTCTCTGAAATAACAAGGAAATGATTTAACTTACACAACAGCATGAGCCCATTCTTTTACATTTGTATTTTGTGAAAGGATCACTTGAAATATTGTTATAATGTTGCATGGAAAGGTATCAGGGCGCTGAAATATGAAAGCTGTTTCCAATCTCCCTTTCAAGCCATGCAATGGAAGTAGTGTCCGCGAAAGGTCAGCTGAATCCCTGAGACAACCAGATGATGGAAAGTCTTGTCCTGCTGCCACTGAGACAGAAGTCTGCACTTTGAACAAAAACTGCTATCACTATGACTACAATGTGACAGGTATTTGTGGTGTTATGCTCTAGTGACAGCCTGGGACTATGGCTTACTTCCATTCACCTTACAGGACAGACCTTTTAGCTTTCTGTTCATATCCAGAGGGAGCTGTGGAGCTTGTATTGAAAACTGGTTCAGGCCACTTGATCCAGATAAAATATTACTGGAGGCTTTGCAACTTTTGTGAAGTGTGCATGCTGTTACTCCAGGAAATTTATTTCTCCTGTCATTTTGTGGTTTGCTCAAAATCTATGTAGATGTAACCAAATATGAACTTTTTAAGGACACATCATGGCACTGACTCTTTACAGTAAATGTTGCTTTTCCCCCAAAATGTGCAGGAGCTGGGCTCCATGAGCCTTTGCATGTGTAAAAGTTGCTTGTGAGGATTATTTTAGACCATCCAAATTAGAATTAGGTGGGAGATTGGATCATTATGAGCTTTATCTAAAATGTCTGCTATGCTAATGAATTCTTTATTTCCAGACTGGAGCACATGTCAGCTCAGTGAGAAGGCTGTCTGTGGTAACGGTATCAAAACACGGATGCTCGATTGTGTTCGCAGTGATGGAAAATCAGTTGACCTGAAATACTGTGAAGAGGTGAGTAGGTACCTCTGAGTAAGCTCCATTCTAGTGGTGCTAATTAATGCTGAGCCAGCTGCGCTATACGGCATGTAACCCATCTTCACCAGATGTTTTGCAACACTATTCATGGATTGTTAAGTACCTCTGAAATGAACTGTTCCATCAACAGTGATTTTTATACAATTTCCTTCAGTTACTTTTAAGTGCCTCCGTGAACGTATGCTAATTATTATGTCCTGAAGGAAATGACTTAGAAACAATAATTAATAAAGTAGAATAAAAATAATAAATCTTAATCAGAATACTAATCATCATTCTAATTTGATACAATTTCTGCGTGGAGCCTTGGACAGCTGCCAGTATCAATCATTTACTCAGTGTGTTGGAAAATATTTCTCACGTGCCCTTCTGCAGCTGGTCTGAATGCTGGCTTCTTGTATCCAGCTGTGCAATGCAAAAGATACCCCAGCTAGTGTGAAAAAATGGGCAGCATGGATACAATATTAAATAGGAACATATACGGAGAACTAACTAGCAGATAGGAGCCCTTAAATTTTGAAAGAGCCATTTTGCAAATGTTCAAACTAACTTCAAATTTGATAACACTGGTTTTCTGACACTTTGTGTGTTGGTCTTAATATTTTCACTTGCATGCAGACAGTAATATGAAGGGCACTGAGAAGACAAGTGATACATTACTACATGCATTTCTGATGGGAAGTAGCTGACCTTGTTTCAGCTGCCATTCCCCCACCACCTTGACATCAGAAGAAAAATCACTTTCAATGGAGGACTAATGCGGACTGGCCTCCACAGCAGCTTTGGTACCAACACCTTTTCTGTTAGTCCTTCCCTGGCTGGTAGCTGCTCTTCAGGATGTGCCTATAGAGAAGAGTCTCATCAGAAGTGGAAGGAGTCAGGAAACTCATCATGTACTTTGGACTATAGTTTTGTAATGGTGTATCTGACCCAATTAGGCTTCTCCAACCCCCCTCCAACATCCTGGATTCCTGAATCTGTAAGTTCTTAGCAAAGGCAGGAGGTTTCAGCTGAGGCTGGCATCCTACTTTTTTCCCAAGTTCCTACTTCACACATAGCTCTTGGGTTTATAATCATATCTAATAATTTGATCATTTATGTCTCAGGAAGAAACTCAGGATCTAACTACCTACTAGCAAGTTTCTGTGAAGTTAATAGAGGAATGCATTAATGTATTCTGTTAATGTTTTAAAGCATTAAAAGAAACAAAATTTGGCTCTTGGGTTTATTGTAAGACTGCTATACTGATTAATTCATACCAAAACATGATATAAAATGTCTATCCCACATGAATATTTTAATAGGAAAAAAATATGCTTTATTAGATTTTAAGGGAAATGTGTTTCTTTTACCATAAAGCCAAGAAATTAGTCCTGTGGTTAACCAAAGATTTTGAGCAACATCTAGAACAAATGATTACATTTTATACTGAAATCTCATTGCAGAAAAGCTCTGGAGCTTTCCTGCATTTAAGAAATTAATGTTTACTATTCAGAGAAATAATTAGGACAACAAGATAATATTTCAAAACCTACTTGCTGTAAATGACTGACCAACAGACATGACTGTAGTGGGGTCCTGGCTTTAACAGCAACCACTGTGATACAGTTTTATTTGCAGTTTTGATTTGCTAGACCATATAGAGATATATCCTCCTGTAGAAAGCTTTGCTGCACTCCCCAGTCATATTGTTAAAGATTCTATTTCTTGAATTATGGATGTGCAAGCAGTGGTACAAGGTCAAAAGCTGATCCAATAACTGTAAGGAATAAAACCTGTTAACCTGATTAACAGGAAAGCCAAGCTGTTCAGAATGTATCAGACTCTTCGCTCTCAAGATGTGAAAGCCAACTCTGAACTTTCAGGTCATGATAGTATTCAATAAATTATCAAAATGTGAATGCATACTATGAACTTATTACTAATCTAATCACATATGATCCTTCAGGGTGTGTTGTGGGTTTTTTTTTTTCTGTGTTTTTGCATTATAAAGGCAGTGCAGAAAGATTAAATGAAGTTCAAACCAAGGTGCACGTGATTGCAAAAGTAGATGGGAAGAGAAAGATTAAATAATTTTGTAATGGCTTAGCTAAGAGAATTTCCCCTGGGCTATCATAAAACTTTATACTAGATGTGTGAATAAAAAAAAAGTTTTGTTTAACTTACGTGTAGATACATTTACAGAATTATGATTCTTATTATTATATGCAAAGAAGAGAGATCAGAACAGCTAAACCTATCCTGATCCCTAAGAAATTAAGATGCCTGATTGCAGTGTTTGAGTTCCTATATAATATGTGGTTTAAGAAACTAATAAAAGCCATACATAAAAAAATCCCTTCACACTGTCTTTTGACTATCACCATCTCCAGGTATGAGCATCAGCATAGTTAAATATTAACATTTCTTCTGAGCCACTGTGCTCTGGTTTCCTAATGGACCCATATGATCTTGTGTTTGTTTCAGTCAATCAGCTGAAGAAGCTAGCCAGTCATCCTGATTACTTCCAGGATAAATCAATTTCTAGAGCTTATTTCCAAGTCCTTTGTATGTTAGCATAGTCTCTTTCAAATTTTCAAGGCACAGCAATACTGGATTACTTGGTCTCTAACTCTACAAAAATAGCACATAACAAGAACTCAGTTTGGCTTTTCCTTGGGTATTTGAAGATCAGATCACCTAAAGCAAGCTGGTCCTGGTAATTTTCATATTTATGGGCTTATTTATATTCATTTACCTTAAATTAAAGATCAGAAAAGGCTAGAAACCACAAGTTTTGTATGCATTAGAAAGCAAACTTTTCTGATTTATTGTCAAATAGTCTGCTTGTCAGATTACATGATTAACCTCCAGCAGAGGTTAATCTGCATTGCCAAACATTCCTATAAACAAATACAGATACTTTTGGTGGATCACAGGGTTTATAGATTATGCTGGTCTGGCAGCCTGCTGCTCCTGGCGTGTATAACCAGGAGTACAGCGCGCTCAGCAGTAGCTTTCAGTGTAAATCCTCCAGTGCTTACCGTTCTTAAATCAGAAACCACAATTCATCCAGAACAGAGGCTCTTTCAGGTAAGGGAGCTACTGAACACTTTTCCAAATGTTTTCTAAGACCTTCAAGGTGAATTGTAGTTCATCAATTGAAGGAAGGAGAGAGATGAGAAATGAATATGTGATTCATATAAAATTGCAGCCTGACAATTGTTCCCCAAATCTATTTCAGCAGCACTTCAGTATCTAAGGCATGCAAATGGCAGATCACTGTGGGTAATCCAGCCTTCAGCTTCCTCCTCCTCACCTTTAATATCTCTCTTGGGCTTTTCCTTCTCTAGCTGCCAAAGTCCAGCTGAGAAGACCAGTCTTGAAAAAGAGCAGTCATGTTTCTGTAATTGGCAGGAATCAATTCAGCAGGCTTTAAAGCCTTTGCTTAGAAGATTTGACCCTAATATAGACTTCAAAGATGGGTCTCTAGTTTCCTAATTATCCGAACTCCAGATTACCCAAAGGTTTCAGGTGTTGCCTGTGTGCTGGATAATCAAGGTTATACTGTACCACAGAGAAAAGCCAAGAACTCATTCTTTGATGTATAAAACAGAACAGAGGTCTATAATCTCATTTGTCTCAATAAATGGCACTGCAAATGCAAATTGAAGACTTGGGGAGTCTATCAGGGTGAGACATTTCCAGTACTTGTGGTGGTTTATTTATGGAGGACATGCTAATGTTGTGCTTAATTATTGCTCTGTGCTTGCATTTAGTAGGAAATAGTGTTTTTATTTCCCTTTTAAAGTCTTAACTGCTGGTTTTATGTCATTAACCTTTCCAGTCGTTAAAATTAATAGGTTTTGAAATGTCTAGTTTGCCTTTTTTTTTTTTTTTTTAAACTATGTGGGGATTTTATCTGCTTAAGTGATATCCACAATCCCCTGCAATTTTGACAGGCCTCAATGATGATCAAGGTCCACTGGTGTGGGCCAATGAAGAAGACAGTCTTTTATCCTGGGAAGCTGCAGATCTATTCATATTGTCAGGATTGATTTTCTTTCACATTTTAGATCATATACACCATAATCTACCTGTCCTTTTAACTCATTCTGAAGATGTGCAGGCTGCAGGGATTATTATTGTCATGTTAATATTTTTGCCATCAGTTTTATTCCATCGTGCATTGTATATTCTCACGTGTGTCAGTGAGAATATTTCTTTTCTTCCTTGGACAGGGAAAATCTGGAGCCTAGGAGTTTATTAGCTTTACAGGATCTAGACCAAAGGACTGTGTAGCCACTGTGCCTTCTCCCAACATGGCCATAAAACTCTTCCTTCCCTGTGGGGGTTCCATCATTTATTAGTGCTAGGTTGACTCCTGCCCAGAGAAGAGCTCAATACAGGATGTACTTTTGGGAAAACATGTGTCTGGTTATTTTCTGTGTTCCCTTCTCTCATACTGCTCCAACATTTGCAGCTTTTATTTTAGGGATGTTAGAGGATTCTGCTTTTTGCAAAGCTTTTCAGAAAAACATGCAAAGCTATGTTTTTTTAGGACAAAGCATTGTCAATGTTGTGACAATATTTTTGTACACAGTAGAATAAATAGCATAATTTATATAATAAACTTACACACCATGTTAGGAAAAAAACAAGAGAGAGGCATAAGCAGATGCCCAAGGAAGAATAAAGAGACAGACATATCCAAATTTCCATCTACTCCTCTCTCAGCCTCCACCTGTTTTCAGCTCTTGATTTGCATTTGCCCAATGTGGTTTCTGTGTGTTTAAACCTTCATATTTCTGCATTACCTTGTTCAGTTTCTCTCGAGCTCCTGTAAACTTTTAGCATCTGCAACACCTTCTGACAAATAATCTGACTGGCCAATACATGTTCAGCCTTCTGCTTTTGTTAGTTTTGAACCTGGCTCCTAGCATCACTTGAATTCAGTTGTTAGTAGCTGTTGATAGTTCAGTATTTTTATATTCCTATTTCTAAATACTTTACTGATACTTCATAAATTACTTTGTCCTTTACCAGTTGTATGAAGTAATACTGTAGGGATGAAGCCCTCCATTTATAGACTCTAATTTAGACAACATTTAATGAAAATCAGATTTAAGCTTGTATTTAAAAATCAGTATATGTATTAAGACTGCCTTGAAGTGGGATTTTTAAATGTCCTAATTGCTCTACTTCTTATTTAGTAATGACTTCATGCTTGCTTAAGGCTTTAGTTGTTTCAGATTCACCATGTTCAAAAGCATATCCCACACTGATGACACAGACCACATGTTACCTGCTGACCACTGAATATTTCCTTTTAGCTTGGTTTGGAGAAGACATGGCAAATGAATACATCTTGTGTGGTGGAATGTCCTGTGAACTGTCAGCTCTCTGACTGGTCCCCTTGGTCTGAGTGCTCTCAAACATGTGGCCTTACAGGTCAGTATATACCTTTGACATATTTTAAAGACTGAACTTTTCTTTGATAAAAGCAATAATATCTATTTTTGCAGAACTAGAAAATGTAGATATCTAGGGAGAGTGATGGGAATCTAAATCAGCCCTATTCATGGAAATAAGATGCTTCAGTAAGACTGTATTCACTTGAAGATGTATCGATCAGGTTAAGTGAGGTGATTCCACTCCTCTGCTCTGCTCTCATGAGACCCCACCTGAAATACTCTGCTGAGCTTTGGGGGCCCCAGCGTAAGGACATGGACCTGTTGAAGTTGGTCCAGAGGAGGGCTACAAAGATGTTTGGGGGGCTGGATAACCTTCCTTATGAGGACAGACTGAGAGAGTTGGGGTTGTTCAGCCTGGAGAAGAGAAGGCTCCAGGGAGACCTTATAGTGGCTTTTCTGTACTTAAAGGGGGCTACAGGAAAGATGGGGAGGGACACTTTATCGGGGAGTGTAGGGATAGGATGATAGGTAATGGTTTAAAACTGAGAGAGGATAGACTTGGATTAGATGTAGGGAAGAAATTCTTTCCTGTGAGGGTGGTGAGGCACTGGCACAGGTTGCCCAGAGAAGCTGTGGCTGCCCCCTCCCTGGAAGGGTTCAAGGCCAGGTTGGATGGGGCTTTAAGCAAAAAGGTCTAGTGGAAGGTGTCCTTGCCTATGGCAGTGGGGTTGGCACTGGATGAACTTTAAGGTCCCTTCTAACCCAAACAGTTCTATGATTCTGTGATTTTAAGGTAATGAGAATTTGGCCCAGAATAGTTTCTGACTCTGGGAAAAAAAGTGAGATATGATGAATGATATTTTGAGATAAAAATAAACACTGATATCAATATTTGGTTTTTAGCTGATGGGGGAGGAAGACAAGGGTGAGATTTCTTCTTAGGTTGCATTAGTGGTGAGCTTAGAACAACTAAACTTGTAGAAGAGCACAGTGATTAAAACCAACAAATTTACTCACTGCAGAATTCTGTATTTTTAAACACAGAACAAGGGCAGGGGAACAAGTTACTTTCACTGTCATCATAGTAATTTATTTTTTCCAAAATGTTGCTAACCACTATCTAAGTTTTTTTTATATCAAATCTACCTCACAAAATGGATATCAAAGGCACATTCTAGTTATGGAGGAACTCTTGTTACTTATTTGCATTCATATGTCTCAGAATAAAGACCTGAAATTACCATTGTGCCAGGCAAGTAAGCTATACACACTACTGAAAGAGAGGGGTAGAAATCCATCTATGAAACTTCTGGACGTTTCCATTGAATGGTTAGCAGTGTATGGAATCAAATTTCAACTGCTGGGCTCAGAGTAAAGGATTTTGCATCTTTTTGTGTTCTTTGGGGAGTGCACCATAGGGAAAGGTCTAGGCAAAACCATCTGAAAGCTCTGGCCACCTCAGGATCCCAAGAGAAAGGCCAATGAATTTTTTAACTGTAACAGTTAATCAGTTGATACTGCAGTATCTAAGTAATAATGTTTCAGTTCTTTGAGCTTCTCTCAAAGCACGACTTCTACATTCAAATAATCTACACTTCTATGTTCAAAATAATCCTTATAGAGTGAGAATTGAAGTAACAGCTGTACTGAAGGCTTAAATATGTTGCCAGATTTTCTGTTACAATTTTCTGTTTATATACAAGACCTGAACAATTGACATGATATTTTTCTGAATGAGAAGTATTGTTGCTATGCTTTTTCAAAATGTGAAGGCAGGTCACTATCTGAAATCTCTGTGCTTTCAAAATATAGAATGCATTTGTAGAAGTGAGAAAATTTATTTTAAATAGTAATGTAAAACAGCTTTCAAATTTTCAATATTTTTAACGGATGATGTCAAGCTCACATGTAAGCCTTGAAGCTGTAATTTTCCTATTAGGCAGGGAGTGGGAAGTAACTGCTGTTTTTCAATAAGTAAGAACAATCTAATAAACGCAGTGACCACAAAGCTGGACCGCATTTGTGCACCCATGCAAATACCCATAAAGTTGAGAAAAAATTCTGTATGTAAGAATTCCGCTCTTGCTGTTCTTTGGGTTTTTTTGTCCCGTACTTTTCAATAAAATCCTTTTTCTCCTGTGACATCTCAGTTGGGGCAGCTGTGAATCCAAGCATGATGAGGCTCCACTTGGAAAACATCTTTCTAGCTAGCTGCAGTGAACACAGCTGTCTGGGAGATTAATACAGTTCTGCCTCGTGGCTTATGTAGCTTGCTCTCAACAAAAGATTCATGTCATGATCATTAGGGTGTCCAGTTCCAAATGCATCAGAGTAAAATTTGGAATTCAAGATGAATTGTTTTGGCCAGCTAACACCAGGTGTTATGTAGGTAAATCTTAGTTTATTATAATCCTCAGTATACAAATGTAAATATATACATCTTATATCTTGGTTCATATATTTATCTATACATAAATTAAAACACCACAGCTGCATTGGTTTTGTGGAAACATCTGTGAGGTGACAACTCTAGAGCAGCCACTTTATCACTACTTCTGGCACAAACAAATTTTTTTTATTATATTGTACAACCTCTTTGTAATGAAGCGTAATGGTCTAATGTCCACTGCAAGACAAATGAAGCAAGAGTTGCCGAAAAGATAAAAATGTTTTCCTCTTTCTGCTCATATAAGTATTTGAAATAGAAACTGCATCTCATGATTGTGTGCTACTCATGATTGAAGAGAAGATTAATGTTTGGCAACCCTATTGTATTTTAATTTTCTTTGGGCCTGAGGGAAGAATCTTCCAACTCCTGCAAAATTTGCATGTCATGTTATTCAGACAATGAGGGAAAGTTGCAAGCTGTTCTTGGTTGATGGAATCAGACAATCATAGGACACAAGATTCTATATTAACTCAGAGAAAAACAGAACATGTTAGTCTCTTCTAACAGCAAACTCCAGATGAGGAGCCAGAATCTCCACTGAAGTGTCACAAACATACCATCCTGTTCAGAAAGAGTATTTTTCCCCAGGCTTCTGAACTAGGGAATTACTAATTTTGTTTGCTGTTATAGGAGCAATCTGAAATCCTAATCAGACATCCTCCTGCACTTCTTGCAGTACAAATAAATGATAGAATATAAAGTGTGTGACTTGGAAAATATAAATCTCCATAGCAGACAAGAGCCAACAGATCTGCTTCACAATCCAGTTTATCAAATATGGAAAAAAATTACTTTATTCAAATACAGTGCTTTTCACCAAAATAGAACCATCTTGAGGAATATATCAGTCTAATCACTTTGTTGTTAGTTATATTGCTGCTTCTTATTTACAGGAAAAATGATCAGACGAAGGACCATAAATCAGCCTTTTCAGGGTGATGGGAGGCCTTGTCCTTCTCAGATGGAGCAATTCAAACCCTGCCCAGTAAAACCTTGTTATCGATGGAAATACGGTCAATGGTCTGCATGCAAAGTAGAGGTAAAAGCCATATAGGACTCTGAAGGTATGGAGCTTGTATATCTAGGCATATTTGTGATATGCTCAGATACCTGCTTCATAACACTGTAAACAATTTACTTTCACTTCTCTTCTACAAAAACTAAAGATTTATTCTTAAAGTTCATATTTGTCAACAAATACAACAATGTTTTACAGATATTAAAAGTATAAATGCAAACTTTGGAACCATAGCAGCATCTTTGCTAATAACTGAAATGATTCTATTGTAAAATAATATCTGTGGAAATAGATTGTCATCCTAGAAGATACCTCCACTTGAGGTACTGCTGTGGTTGCAATTCAAAGGCATAATTAGCTCCATATTTTAAGAAACAGTAATAGCAGCCAGCAGAATTTTTGATTTGTTTGTTGGGGTTTTTTTTTTTTTGCTTGTTTGTTTGTTTCAGAAGTAAAGCACAATCTTTTTTTTATTTTTTTTTCCCCCTACTGGAATGAAGTTAAGCAAAAAATAATAAAAGACAGAGTGACATGTAGCTCAGATCTAGTCTTCTTGGCACTTTCTTCTGTCCAACATCCATGTATGTCCTTCTCCAGGATGCTCAATGTGGAGAGGGAACACGAGTGAGGAACATTTCCTGTGTGGTTTTTGATGGATCCATTGAAGATGGTGGCAAAGTAGTAGATGAGGAATTTTGTGGAGAAATAGAGCCTGTTATAGATGGTAATAAGAAGATTATACTTGAGGAAACCTGCACTGTCCCTTGTCCAGGTAACAAAGCTATTCAAATAAATGTTGCATTTCAAGATTGGTTGGGTATCATTATACTTATCAGTGCCTAGCATTAGCCACAGGCAATTAAATCTTTTTCACATGCTTTACTGATTGTACTCATCCATCAAATGACCAACAGTTACTTTCCAGTAGTGGCTTCATGACAATAAATCAATTAGAAAAAAATACCAGGTTTTAAATTTTATAAAAGGCATGTCTCAGTCACAGATTGTACCTAATAAGAATATATTATTTCACAAAATCATTTGAAATAAGACCTGTGTTTAACTCTATAAGAAAGTGTTGGCTTATAGCTAAGTATTTACTTTAAGTGCTTAGGTCACCTAACAGCTTTATTAATACTTTTAACAGGGGCTAAGGAATATGATGCCTTTTTTGGGTGTCTAAGAAGACTATGCTAGGGAGTCTTACTTTTTTGTTTAAAGGGGCTATTCCAAATGAAATTAATATTTTGATCTCCAAGAAAATGTGAGTATTTCTAACTTTTCAACTTGCTGGACGTGACATGCACCATCATTGCCCTTGTAAACTGAATCCAAAGGAGCTGTTACAAATTACCAGGTCTATGACCCTCATACTGATAAGGATTAAGATTCTATAACAGCTTTTTAATTTCCAGTAAAACCCCTCCAGTTCATTTCAAGCACTTATCTGTAGAATTTGAAGTATATTGCTGTTGTTCAATAGAATCATTAGTAATGTATCTTCAGAAGTGGTGATTAACTCCTTCAGTTCTAATGTAGCTATCATTCCATACCAGTCCTCTGTTTTTGTTCTCTCGCAACTCTTCCCTTTCTCAGAATTTTTTTCCAATTCATTTCAAATTGGACTGAAGGTAAAGTTGCTTCAACAAATAGAAAAGAATCAAACCCAGAGAGGCTTCCATAACTGCTTTGCGCAGAGCATTCCAATTGCATGATTTTTACGTATTTTTTCAATGAAAATTGGAAGAATAAAAGGCTTGTAGTTATGTTTTCATGTTAATAAAATTTATATAGAAAAAATATAGCTGCTTATTGCTTGCTTTTAAAATTTGCTGAGCAGGAACCCGTTTTTCAACAATCTCACATTTAGCCAGCAAGAATAACTACCCTGTGGGGATGTGCTAATGATACACTCCAACTAATATTTCCAAAAATCACTACTTGTTTTCCTATTATGTATACATCAGTTCTTCAATTATTCATTTCTTTGCATGCTTTCCTAACATTGGCAAATAAAATTCCTTCATTAATCAGGCATCTGGTCAACACGGTACTGATTATATCTGTCATCAGTATAATGTAAGGTAGCATGAATTTTTAATAGCTCTTTCTTCACTGAAATAATGAGAACTAGGAGGGTTATTTATGAGTCTGTGCACAGTGTAGTCCCATTTTCTACTGCAGTTTTAACAAAATGGTCTCTTTGTGTTGTGCCTGAGATCTTTCTTAAATGTTCTTTAGCTGATCATGCTAATTAGTGTCATTAGTACAATTTTATGTTTCAATTTTATACCATAAGATAACATTCCACAAATCCCTATTATCCTAACATGAAATAACCAGAGCAGACATTTTAATCACCTTCCCATTTCCCTTCCTTGCAAAGAATGTTCCGGCAGTTGCTTCTACTGTCTGTTTAGAGAAATTTTGCATGAGGATAAGCAAAATTAATCTTTTTAAACCTAGACAATGTTTTCTATTTCTAAGGTGAAAGAAAAATTATGAACAAGATATATAAATTTAGCCTAAGGCATACAGTGCACAATACCCTAAAATTTATAAAAATCCAGACATTTGCTGGAGTGTTATTCAGAAATTCAAAATTAGAGTAATCTTCTAGGAATGCTTCAGGAAACTATCCTGCTTTAGAGCAAATAGGCTTTTGTATAATCTTTTTATTACCATTTGCTACTGTACAGATATTTAGAGAGTACCAAAATATTACCTGCTCTTAAATATAAGTCACATTTAAAAAGAGGAATGAAAAGAACTATGAAGAGGGAAAATTAAGAAACTGGATTTGGAAATTTTTTCTAAGACATTTTTCATGTGAAAAACTCCTCACATATGATGATTGTTCATCTTATAAAATTGCTGTTTGACAGGTGACTGTTACTTGAGAGAGTGGTCAGAGTGGAGCATTTGTCAGCTAACCTGTGTTAACGGTGAGGATCTTGGCTTTGGAGGGATACAGGTCCGATCTCGGGCAGTGATCATTCAGGAATTAGAGAATCAACATCTCTGTCCAGAACAGGCTTTGGAAACAAGACCTTGCAATGGTAAGCACCAAAATATACACAAGGCCACTTCCTTTAAGAAAAAAATACATAAAAACAATAGTTTTGTTTTCTTTCTGTTTACAGTATCAAATTTAGGCAAATACAGATTTGATAGAAATGCACTTTTTTTTTTTTTTTCCCAGAATCAACTGTAAACAGAAAAGCTCTCAAATTGTAGCTATCATATGTTGCCATTTTAAATGCAATATTTGGAGTATTGATGATCCTTTTTTAATAATGAGTATCTAAGAAGAGTAATTCCCTGTATGGACATTTCTTGTCCATTCAGAGGCCAGACAGATCAGGCAAAAAAGAAATTTTATATTTATAAGGGAGCTAAGGTGCAGAAGGACTTCATGATTTATCCCAGGCCATACAATACGTGTACAGCAGAGCTGAGATGTGAAGTCAGATGCAGCCCAGGCCACTTCACCAAGCACCAGAGCATTGACTGAAGCTCAGTGTTACCAGGAAAGGAACCTGACCCCTGAATGAGTTTTGTGCAACAGATGGGCCACAACCATTATTTATTGGAAACATCTGGTTTGCCCATTAACTATATTAGTCTTACTCCATGAGCAGTGTGTACAACCATTATAGTTCTTGTCCAGGACACATCTGGTTTATTCTGTATGTATCAACTAAGTGCAGAAGACCTTGGGTCCTCCATGTGTGCAGTGTAGCCTTCTAAGTTGCTGGGTGAAGGAGGACAGGGACTACTTAGTCATATAAATGGTTAAACATAAGGAGTATGGTCTGCTGATGAGTGCAGCTGCTGCCAGTGGTAGCCTAACATCTTGTCATCAGATTTCTTGAAAAATTAATATTCTCTGTGTAGATGGCCAGTGCTATGAATACAAGTGGATGGCTAGCCCGTGGAAGGGATCTTCTCGAACCGTGTGGTGCCAAAGGTCAGATGGTTTAAATGTCACAGGTAACTACTCTTTTTATATACACACAAAAGCCTGGAAAACAGGTGGATAATGTCTCTTCCCAACAAATGGAAATTATTTTTTTCAAAGAATCTGCTAAAAACACTTGTTCCTGATGTATGAATCAACCAGCTGTTGTTGTCTTGAATCAACATGGATTTGCATACTAAAAGTGTAATTTATTTTCCAGAATTATGCAGAATTATGTAATGCTAAAAGTAAATATAAATATTATCCTTCTGTATTGGACCTAGAGTATTTCTTTTTTTTTTTTTTTTTTTTTTTTTTTTACCACAGACATATTTACCCTTTTTAATTTAGGGTTTCAGATTTCAAGCCCTACAACAAATAGAACTTCTATATATAAAAGTTCATTTCAATGCCTATACAGAGGCAGAGATGGAAAGCTTGATAATATCATGAATATATCTTATATCTCCTTAAAATTACAAAATGTAAAATTTTAATAGATGTTCTAATTTATTTCTTTATTTCAGTAACATAAACCAATAGCAGAATACTTTAGTGGAGAACTATGGGATGTAGCTATTTTTTGTGCAAACCAAAGCACAAAACACCATGAATTAAGAATGACTGAGGTCTCCAAATTTAAGAAAATCTTCATATATGTCTGTTTATATTAATTTATTTATCAGAATTAGAGATTAATTTAAACTAACAGTTTATATAATATTTCTATCAGCCCAGGTGATAGTAAAAGAATCCCAGAGATTGTAAATGCATTCTCAATGCCAGCCACTGTCAGCTCTAATTCATGGACTGCCAATACAATACCTCATGATGATGGAATCCACCACTATTGTCTGTTGTGGGAGTAGAAATAAAAATATCTGTATTATTTTTACAAGGTTTTGAAATAATAGCCCAAAGTCTCTTTTGCAAGTGTCACCCTGTGCTATAAGAATATTAAAATACATCATCTTCATGATGAATGCAACAGGGCATTATTTATGCACCTTGATTGCTCGCTGCCTAGTGAGGATGCTTGTATGGTAAGTAAAACTCTAAGTAAGAATTCTTATTGAGATTAACATATGATATTATTTATTAAAGGTCCTACAGGATTTCAAAATAAATCGCATCTTGGTGATTATAGCTCTGAGGAGTTAAAATCAGAATATATTCATAAATCACTGTCAGTCGCATAAAAATAATAATTTGTTCTGATGTAGCCAAATACAGTCATGTGATTCCAGGAAATTCCAGGAAAGACAAGTGTATGAATATGTGCTATTGGCAAAATTTTCATGACACGACCTCCTCGGCAGACTAACTTCAGACCTATATTGTATCTCTTTTTCAAAGTTTGTTTGTATGTGGTTTTAAAGCTGTAGTAACTTTCTGATTTAAAATGAAGACTAGTGGAAAATTCCAGACAATGTAGTCACCAGTTTCCATGCAATGCAAAACTGTATTTTATATACGTTCCTGACAGTTTTCAAACAAAACACTTAAGTACAATATACTGTGAGAACTCCATTGTGTGACGTATAAAGTCATGAACTGTATTACAATTTATGTTTGAACATTTTTTTGAAAGTGGTTTGTGTAAACTACAGTATTTAAGAGCTCTAACTGGTAGATGCATATACCCAGTTGATTTAAATGGAGATTACCTATTTTGGTCTAGGATCGATCAACACATATGTCTTATTTCTGTGTTTCTTTGCTGCTTTATTGCTGCATATTTGGCTCTAACATAGTGTATTTTAATTCAGACATTATAAAAGTTTTATTATGAGTCCTGTTGGTATTGTAAGGCCTTTATTTACTTGCATAATATTATTGTGTTGAATAGTTCTTTTCTACTTCAAGGTGTTGCTTCCCATGAGTGATGAGGCAACTCTTTCCTTCTGCAGCTTCCTTGGATGACTGATATTTTATTACATAGATTCCCACAGGCATGTGATTTGTATGCTAGGATATATGATTTTCCTTTCTGGGGTGGGGGAAAACTTACTGCAACCAGCAGGGTTTTCTTTGTTTTCCATCGGCCATCCCATTAACACTTGGATCTACGTAACCACATCTAACTGCATCTGCTATGGTCGTGACCAACCTCAGCTGTCAGGATTTCATCATCATATCACGCCAGTATAAAAATGTTATTAATTTGGGAGATGCAGGTTAAGTCATCCTGTAGCAGTATAAGTTTTAAACTGCGTGATGCATGTCCCTCTTCTGTAAGCTAGAAGGAAACCAGGTAAATTCAAACTGATTCTAAATGTATTTTAAAGTAATTCTGGCTGAAATGATAGTGAAAGCCTGATTGTGTGTATTGGTCCATAACAATAACTTCACTGTACATAAAGCTGTAGAAATGAGAACTAGGTCTGTATAAAAAAGAAAAAAGACTGAAACCCACTATATCATCAGTATCATAGCATTCAGTACATGCTTTACTGATAATACTTCTTTCCTTCCGAAAAATCTGTCTTAGACTAGCATGAAATGTGCCTTCACAAGAGGCAAAGCTATAGCATGTGTAAAACTGACTGCTGAGGAGCAGCAGAAAACAGGTATCCATTCATAACCTGGATGTGTAGTTTGTTTCCAGTTTAACAGGTGAAGATAGAAATAAAATTATGTTTTTATTTTCTGTGTGGGCACAGTTTTAATATATAAATCATAAGGAGGGCCCTAGAGAACCAAAATCTGTTCCCTCAAGCACAACAAAACACTTAAACTGTTTTTTAAGCAGTACACCACCAAAGAAACAAAGAGAAAAACAAAAGGTTCACTTGCCAAATATTAGCTCTCTAAAATGCACATGAATGCAAATATATGTGCTGTATCCTTACTCTACCTATAAGAAAATACTTAATACCACTTATCCTTCACCTTGGAATAAGAGGACACTTAAACTCAAATTTGCAATAAAAATGTAATCCATGACATACTGTAGCAAATAATGACATCAGTAATTTAATCAGTGGTGAGGTGTTACCATGACAAAATATGATTTTCTGTCCTACAGGGGGCTGTTTAGTGATGCGCCAACCAGATGCTGACAGGTCATGTAACCCACCGTGCAGTCAACCCCATGCTTACTGCAGTGAGGTATGTGCTACTGCATTGGAGCATAAAACACCCCTGTGAGGGCTTCCCACACATCTCTCTGCATTACAAAGATTGTGCCAACAAAAAGTATTTTCAGAGGTTTTGCTAATCACTAATTTGTTAAAATCAACCTCAGACCATTTTCTGCCTTTCAAGTAGATGTGGAAGAATGTCTGTTGATTTGGTACAAACCTGCATAAAAATATATGAAGAGGTACTCTCCAAGGTAACACTCACCAAAACAGTCTTCTCTTCCAGTCATCTGTGTTGTTATGCTTTATAGCTCACAGAAAACTCTGTTTTTCTGCTACACAGTGTAAAACACTTGTTCCTTACAGACTAGAACGTGCAGTTGTGAAGACGGATACACTGAAGTTATGTCCTCTGATGGCACACTCGAACAGTGCACTCTCATCCCAGTGGTGGTGATCCCCACCATGGAGGACAAAAAGGGAGATGTGAAAACCAGTCGAGCTGTGAACCCTACCCAGCCCTCCAGTAACCAGTCAGGACGAGGAAGGACCTGGTTTCTACAGCCTTTTGGGCCAGGTGAAGTCATGCAGTGAGCAGTTCTTAATGTTAAGTACTGCTGTAGGGTCTGGCATTTACATTTTTGTGATGCCAAGGAAGAAATGAAAAAACGTTAAGTGTTCATTTAAGAAGACAGGCATCTGCCCTGACTGAAAACAAGGGAAGAGACATAAGCAAACCCCTAGACTTCTTAGCTACTCCATCAATATATTTAATGAAATCTTGTATTGTAGAAGTTTTCCTTTTAATCCCTTCTACCTGTTAAAATTCACAGAAGCTATTTGAAATATGACTTTAGAAGGGAGTCGGCTGCAAAGTTACAAACCAGGAAATTAGATTATTCTGTTTCAACCAATCATGCTGTTGACAGAGGAGTGAAAAGCTAGCACTGAAGACTGTAAAGGGTAAGGGCTGCTTAAAATTTGCAGCCGTAGCATAAATTTTAGGAAAATAATCAGTATAGATATGCTAATACTCCTCTGTCATATCCATATTTAAACTAATTCATGTTAGACAAGAGCTAACCATTTTACTGATATTTAGCATAGACATGCTCTAAGTCTCTATAGGCAGTATTTGCTTTTATGATGGACCTGAACAAGGATTTATGGGCAAGAGTGGCAAGAAATATAAGACAGTTATCCCATCAGAAATACTTTATAAAGTCCATCATGTAATCAGATTTCAGTAAATATTTCCTGGTACTATTAAGCATTACAATAAATAAAACATTAATTAACAAAATACTTTCATATAGAGAGATATGATACTTGTCCAAAATGTTAATTATATGCAGAGAGCAATTGGTTAACTTAAGTGTCTTTTATATCACATAGAGCTAAATATTCTGACACACTTGTGTCTTAGAGTGTTCATTCCTTTTTAAAGATTTTATGAATGTTTTTAATCTGAGAATTGAAAACAGTATCTTTACATGCATCATCTGTAAAATGCTGCAAATTGAGACCTACAGCAAAATTTCTAATAAGCAGATTAAATCATGTTCATCTTAGAAATACTTATGTTAGATCTATTAGTCTTACTAGCATTTACTGTTATTTGTACTGTGATACTATATTTGATACCTGCAATAAAATGTTCTTTACTCCAATTAGTTAATACTTTAATACACAATAAAAAAAAAAAAATAAAAAAAAAAAAAAAGAAAAGAAAATTAAGCCTTTCTGGTCCTCCTTTAAAAAAAACAGTATCTTACCAAATATGTTGTCTTTTACTCATTCTAGCTAACTCTACCTGAAAATGCCAGAGTGGGTTGTAGCAAACAGAGTGCCAAAAATGCCAAAAATAAGCAAATGTCAGACAGTCTCCCTCAACTATTTAGGAACATGGATGCTCATGTGATCTCAGACATGGGTTTTGGAGCAAGGAGCATTTGGGAGATTTCATGAAAACTCACTAATTTTCCAGTAATTCAAGTCAGGAAAGGAACATAGCTCAGCTCCAATAGGAACAATGGTATTTAGTAGAATACTTTATCCGGTGAAGGTGGGAGCAAATGTGGAAGAAAGTGAACATTTTGTACTTCAGAGGAGATTTATGTTTGGTTGTTTTAATTCCAGGTTGAAATGTCTATTGGAAAGGTTTTGATTTACTCTAGCATGATTATTCCTTTCCTCACAGTTTCTAAGTCTAGATCAAAATAGTTCTTTTAATGTCTTCAACAAATTATACTGAAGTTACAGAAAGGAAGGTATTAAAACTATCCTCTTCAGATGTCTGCGTTGATGTGTTACCCAAAAGAGATGAGTTTGAGATGCCAGTTCCCTTGTATATGTAGAAATAATCTATCCAGGGGGAATTCAGAAAGCTTGAGTTAGATGCCCATAGTCACATAATAAGTATGACCTTGTTAAGAGAGTTCCCTGTTTTGACAAAAAATAAATAAATTAATGCACAAAGTAATTCCAGTCTTTTATTCAAGGAGATAATACTATATTAAAACAAGCAAACCCAAAACACCTTACCAATGGAAATAAGCAATGGAGAGAAGAAACTAAACTATCTAGCAGTACTGAAGTCTGAATTCCTCTCATTCGTATTATCATATCATTGGATATGTCGAGTCAAATCTACTGTTCAATTAATCCTTAATGGGTCAGTTATTTCAGTTATATTAGTTATTATCATTTATAATGTTTCATTAGGTTGATTAATGTAATGAAGCTAAAATGTTTTTAATTTGATTAGTCTTGAACAAGATGTCCACATAACTGCAAGATTTTGCATTGCTAGAAAACAGAAAGCCTGAACTTAACTGCACAGCAAGAGAGCACTACTGTGGTTCTGAGCAGTCAGTCTGACTGATTCTTTTTGTTATTATGTTGTAGAAACATCAACTACATTGATAACGCCTTTTTGTTCTACAGAGATATCAGGAAGCAATAAGTATTTCGTAAGAAAAATTTTAGCTGTGATTGCTTACATTGCAAATATACACAACTCAATGAAATAAAAATGTTGTTACCTGTAAATTAAATAATTCTTCTTTTAAAATGGAATTTTCATTGTCAAGGAGATGCAACAAGGATAGCTAACTCCTGTAAAAGAATGTTTTCAAAAAGCCATTTAGAAATTTGCAAAATGACTTAGATAAAAGTAGTAAGTCAAGCATCATGCACTGACCTTGGGTTGTGACATGCTCATATGGGGTTTGGAGTAAAATCCCTCAGACAGAGAAAGTCACACCATTTTTCCTGGGAGAAGTGGATACATCTATGATGAAGGCAAGCAGGAGAGTGGGATGTATACCTCAGCTTGCAGGGACATCATGTCCAAAATAAAAACTGCATAAATACAGTCCTTATCAACAACAGACAGTTGTTTTATATATGAGCATGGGTTGTGCTTTTTGGTGTATTTTTGCTTGTTCTGTAAGGGGAAGTTCTTTTCTTACAGCAAAGCTTGCATTTGGTAGGGGAAGAAATTGGAAAATTATTACTTTACGCAGTGGTGAAAGCTGTGTATATGCAGTTAAGGTATGGACGAGGTAAAACATGCTAAAGGTATTTAAAAACATGCTAAAGGTATTTAAAAACATAAAATTCAATAGCAACAGGAATGAAACTAACAGGCAGATTGATTTACCAGAGCTAGAATGGAAAGTGATGCTCAGCATAAATGACTCTTGGGCTGATAAGCTGGCCTGTGATCATGCTGAAGGATTGTTTGCTACCCCGGGCCCAGAGGCTGGGTTTCTGGGGGTCTTGCTTTCTGCCTCTGCCCCACATCTTGGCTCCATTTGGATTATCCAGACTTTCTGGCTGAAAAGCAGATCACAAGTGCACAGAGAAGTTATTGCTCAGTTGCTTAATAGTATTTACTCTTATTAACCTGTAATTGTTAGAGAATACATTTATTTTGGATTATAAAAGTATTTCTATGTTATATAAGAACTAATAATTCAACAAGACTAACTCAAACATTACTAACATTCATTCCTTTTAGATGGGAGGCTGAAGACCTGGGTTTATGGTGTAGCTGCTGGTGCATTTGTTTTACTCATCTTTATTGTTTCTATGATCTATCTAGCCTGGTGAGTTCTTTAATTATTTACAAACAAATAGTCCCACACAGACTCTAATGCAAAAGTTTACATTTGCCGCTGTAGAAACTGCAGGCAATTCTGTGAACTGCAGTGTTTAATTTTCCATGTCTTTTTGCCCAAGCTCAGGTTAGTGGACTGTGGTTGTAGTCTAGGTGATGGATAAACACATTCTCTCCTGAGGTTAGAACTTCTTACTAATATGGGGTAGCCTAGTGTATGGTTTATTTTTGCTCAGTTTATCTCTGTTAAGAATGTACTGCGTGCGTGATAATTTCATTGCGTCTGTATCACAAAATGCAGAGAGAAATAGCAAGAAGGAAATCTAGTAATCAGGCAAGTCAGATTTGATACTTGGCAGGATGTACACAACCAAAAGAAGTCTGAAAACTTTCTCATGTGACTTTTGTATGTGAAATAATATTTTGTTGAAAAATCTTAGTACATGTGAAAGCAATGATTTTTTGCAAGAACAAGTCACCTTTGAGAATGCTCTTCCTGAAGTTTTCTAGTTCCTCTTTGGAATTTCTGATCCAAATAACTGTGCAAATGGAAGGTGAGGGCAGTGTGGTCATACACATCAAGCTCTTGGCTGTACTGCATTAGTAGGCATTTGTGGGGCTTCTAGGTTTGTTTGGTTTTAGTAAACCTTCCCCAAAATCTCACTTCTGTCTAAGTAAGGGAAAAAAATCTTTTAGTTTTTGAGGAAAAGAAAATCCATTAGCATATAACTCCACTGCAGATTCTTTAGACTGGAATCTGTGGCCACTGCAAGCCACTGCAACAACTGGTTTGGTGACAAAGATTTAGATTTGGGCAGTCTAAATGACATAGCTGAGATAAGATTTTGGACAAGACAAGATAAGATTTTGGACAAGACTGAGGATGCAGAGGCCTGAGTTAAATAAATGCTTACATTGCATTATATTACAAGAAGACAAGTACTAAAACATGCCTAAACATGCACTTATGTTTGGCTTGGTAAGTTTTTGAAACTATATCAACTGTATCAGAAATACTGCTGGATTAATATCCAATTCAAGGTTAGACAGGGAATGATTATGGCTAACAACCATATCCCTGCTATTCAAGACTGGTTTGATTATAACATCTAGATTTAACTGTAGTCAAGTATAATGAGATAAAACTAATCAGAAGTTTCCTGTGGAAACCCTTGATGTGTCAGGAGAGGTTAAGATTTGAGTCGCATAATTTAAAAGAACCTAATTACAGTTTTAATACATGACAAAATATTGCAATGCAGGCTCTGGGTTCTTCTGAAAACTGACTGATCTTGCAGGAGTACCTGCCAAGGATTTAATCAAGTCACATCATCGTGATAACAGCCCATTTCTGAACAACTGAGCTTGGAAAGATATGTTGCTTTGAATTGATAAAGAGATAATTACTGATCCAAGTGAGGGTTTTAGGCTTATAGCTTTTACAAATGAACAACTAAAGACATTATCTTAAAACAGCACACTCATCTTTCATCTAAGACTGAAATCCATCTGTGTATGTTATTAGTTTCTTGTTCTATTTACAAATTATCTTATTGTTTCAGCAAAAAGCCAAAGAAGCCCCAGAGGAGGCAGAACAACCGACTGAAACCTTTAACCTTGGCTTATGATGGAGATGCAGATATGTAAAATACAACTTCTCATGGTGACAAATGGCATCTAAATTAATGGACTGAAATCAAAAGGTGTCTAAAGCCACAGGGATTTTCTATGGAGTGGATGAAGTGTTTTGACTTTTTTGTAACTGCACCATAGATAAAGGATGAATTTCATAATGCCTATGGATATTCAAGGTATTATTGCTTTACTTTAGACCATCAGCACTGAGAAATCTGGCAGAATCACATTAATAGACACTGCAGTTGGAGATTTGTGGTCTTTCTTCAATCTTACAAACTATAAGCACCACTTCTGTCTCCAGAATACTGTAGCTGACATAGTAATAACAGTTGGAAGCCCCTGCATCATTAACCAAGTATAATCGGTGCGCATGAAGAGTTTGTACCAAGCTATGACTCTTTATATTCAAGCATAACATATATACTCAGTTGAACCATATGTATTGCTCTATCAGATTATATACTTGTTAAAAAGCATTTTAGTGCTGAGTACAGTATTAACTTTTAACTGGGATTAATCCACTGAACAAATTCAACAGTTTGCCAGTTGATGATAACTTGTGTTAAACCTGAAATTCAGAGGGCAATGACTCACTTGCAAAATTCTGTCCTGTTATCACTCCAGAGTATAAAGGCCTCATATGTACATCCAGAAAGGAGGCATTCTCAGATTCAATATTTTCTAGCGGTTGCTGTTTGGAAAAAGAATACCCATTGTAAATGTTACAATATGTTTCTACTTTCTCTAACTCAAACTGTTGCCTGCATCTTTTTTGCTACATGTAAGGCAAATTTTTGCACTATATTAGTGCAGCATGATATGCACTTAACTAGTATTGCCATAGAAACTGCCTCTTTTCTGAAAGGATGATGATGTATCTTGTACAAGGAGTGTCAAGTAGACAGGTCTTGAATCCTGAAGAGAGTAGTCTTTGGTCTGGACTGCAACTGGATGGAATCGGCTAACGACGTGTACTGTACACACACACCTTTCCTTGTCACAGCAGCCATTTGTGGTCTATATCATGGCAGTAATACAAGTGTCTAGTTTCCTGCCCCATCTACCTATACCGGTATAGATTGTCCTGCTGGTTTCTAATTGTACTTTGAAGGCTGTTTATGACTAGATTTTTTATATTTGTTAACTTTGTTAGAAAAAAAAGAAAAGAAAAAGAAAAGTGGTTGCCCTGTAATCCTGAGTGACATACTTACCATCTAAAAAGGTATTCTGATTGTTTGTTCAACTAAAATAAAATGGTTTTGATTTTTTTTTCCTTCTGCTAGTGAGAGCATTTTCACTGTTGATGACAGTGCAATACTCAGAGCCCTTTTGTCTTTTCTAATTAGGATAATTGGATAGACTTAATTATTCAGTTAAACTCTTGAGCATGCTGGCAAGTAAACAGTAAGATCAGTAGTTCTGCCATTTGAATACTCGTGACTTTTTTAAAAAACTCTGGCAGTATAAAAACTCACTGTTAACCTCTTCCATGCTTACAGCTTTTCAGTGTTACGCTTTTGACATGAAGCTCATTGACTTGCCATTGTATCTACATGCCTGTTACAGATGTGATTCATGACCTGAGAAGGGATATTCTCATCAAATGGCTTATATGTGTAACCTGAATATATAAGTGACTGTGCCACTACTAAGCAATACAAAACCTTATCAGGCAACCTTTCAAAAATAATTCTTATATAAAGTTCAATATTAGATTCTCAGGTCTTTTTTATAACCTAAACCATTTTTTCCTACTCATTGTACTATCTACTCAAGAAGCAACAGGTTTTGCACACTGAATAAAACTGTCACTTTTCAAACTTTGGCCCAGATCCACTGAAATCAATGACAAGACTCATGGACATCAGCAGGTAACATCAGTACTTAAAAATACCTACCTTTGGTCCACGTAGAATAATTCTTGGAACCAATGTGCATTTTGTTAAAGTTCAGGAGAGATTGTGGTCCTACTTCAATTTAGCTAGCTTACATTACCAATGTGGTGCTACCGCATCAAGAAAATGACCTTCCTCCCACTGTGTAAGTATTCCCCAAATGGGAATGATGAGCAGAGAGGAACAATGTTAAAAATCTTTTTTACAGGATTCATTTCTCATTTTATACCTTGATCAGGCCGCACCGGTGAAGGGCCATGGCCCCCTGCCACAGCAGTGGTTTGTTCATACACATGTCCCAGGACTGGGGGCTTCAGTCTTAAATTCCTTTGTAAAGATCCCTAAGAAAAAAAAAATCTTGATGAGTTTAATTACTTCAGCATTCTTGAGTAGAAAACAAGAAAAACCTTGTTGATTCCTATTTTGTCAGACATACAAAAAATAACGTTGAAAAGTTATGAAGTTCTAAAGAACAATAACTATCATGTGGAGACATAGAGCTTAATCATGATTTCTGTACTTTTAGAAGTCTGATTCTGTATTGTCAAATAGTATTGAACCAATAGGAAACTGAGGGAACAGGGTTTCTTTCATTGACAATGAGTCATCATTCTTTATTATATTGGCTGGACTTAGCAGGAGCCATTGCCTAGTTCTTGCCTTGAAGATTTTTATGTTCTAAATGTAAGAATTTAATAATTTGAAGTTAAAGGTATGCCATCTCCTTTTTCTTACTGTATAAAATGGACAAATGAAGAAAGGGATAGGAGGGTTTTTAAAGTATGTTTGGCCTTTGCAATCCATGAAAGTATTTTAGTATGTGTTACATTTTATATCTGGTCAGAAAATTTTGCTGGTGCACATCTGCATCATACTAGTGCTGCATTTAAAATCTAGAGTGCATTTTTATTATTAGTTTTTTTATGAACAAAGTGCACAGAAATTCGAAGCCAATATGGCTTCCTTCATTATCAAGAAAAAAAAAAATTAGGCTATAAGGAGGGCTGAAATTTTATGTAAAGCTAAAAATTGCAAAGGTGATTAAGCCCTTTAACATTGAAACAGAAATAAGTAATAGGTGAATTATCATTATGGAATGAAAAGCAATTTGCTTTAAAAATCAGAGTGCTTCTACAAATCCAGTGCCTAAAGCAGCCACTACTGTAGATTGTTAGTTTGTGAAAGTAATGTTTCCAGTGATCAGATAAACCATTCAGAAAATAGCAAAGTAGACATTTTCCTGTTGATGTGGTGGTTTGTATTTTCCTTTTTAAATTTGTAGTTTCTAGATTACTGTGTCTGCTTTGAGTCCTGGAGCAGTTCCTTTTGAAGCTTTGATGCAACTGAAGAAGCTTGTTTATACTTGGTATAAAGCATCGATTTTGAAACTCCCTTCCTCCTGCTAAAATGTAATAAAGTTTGTTTTCCAATACTACAATCTGAAGAGACCAATTTAAAAACTCTATGTATAAATCACTGTAAAATATTCCTTGAATGAAATGGAAATCTGTCTTTTTACCCTTCTGTAAATTGTGCTCACCCAAAGTTAAGAGTTTATTTTGCCTAACTTAATTTACTTGAATATTTATTTTGTAGAACAAGGAGGCAACTGTCTGAGGAATGTTTACCTTTTTTTTTTGTTAATGTTAATTTGTAAATTGTGTAATGCATTTTTATTTTTTAAATTATGTATATTTCTTTTTTAATGCACAAAATGTTTACGTACAACTACTGCAAATTTGTGTATATTGTCACTAAGCTTTATTCAGTTAATACAGATGACATGAAAATGTAATAAGTCTTACATTTTCATCTGGGTTATTTTTACATAACTGATGTACTGCTGACAATAAATATAAACACAAAATTATTTAATGTCTTTTTTTTATATATATGTAGTATACTACACTGGGATAGAGTAACAATAAAAATGAGATCCCTAAAATAGGACCACCTTTTAAATAGTCTCTTTTTTAAAATAAAGAAATTAGCAAACATATTCTTGTTAAGAATTAGTATTTCTCTTTAAAAAGAAAGAAAAATACTTTCTGATGTTATGGTAACTATTGAAGGCTATTGCTACAGTCCTTGTTGACATAGACATTTACAATGCATATTTAATTCATCGATAAATATCCAATAAATGCAATAAATTGGTGGTATTTAAATTTTTTTACCTTAATTGCCATTTTTAATTCAGAAAAACTAGGCCATATGTGAAGAATAAGTGGTGGATCAAGATCTCACTAAAACACATCTATTAACTTCAGTAAATCTGAATAGGTCCCTGTCCCTATAGGAGATGGAACAGGTAACAAAATCCCCCTCCTCTAAATAAACAAACATGCCTAATGCAGTCAATAAAATTATCATTTACGTCCCAGTTGCTAAATTAACATTACCAAATTCACTCTAATTTCTTCTAGAATCAGTTGTGACTCTGCACTTTTTTCATAATTGCTCGTATTCTACCTCTGTGGTCTCCAAAACTCAATTTTTTTCATGTCCATTTCTACAACATATATTTATGCACCAGTTCATGGGGGTTTATACAATTTTGATAGTTATTACCTTCCCAGTAACCCTTCCAGGCTAACCCTTAAAAGTTTGAAACCCAGTTTTGAGAGCATACAACTTTAATTTTAGAGGCATTTCAGGATTTTCAGAAGTACCTCCTACGTACCTTTTCTCCTGCTGGAATTCAGAGTAAAATAACAGAAGCATTGGACTTGTCTTCCCACCTTAAATTTAATAGAGGAATTTTTTAGATCATTTAAAGTTGTTTAATTCAGTACAGGCAGAATTCTACAAACAGTTAAAAAAGGTACTTGAGAGAAGAAAATTAAAATTCTCATTTAAACTCTGCAGAAGGGATTTACCTATGGTATACTCATGAAGATCATATGGTCTTCACATTCAGTAAAGACAGACTTTGGCAATTGGTTGCAAGACTTCTAGAGTAATGGCTTACAGATAGGGAAAAGTATTATTTATTTTTAAAAAAGAGTAAGAGAATATGATTTTCCAATAAAAGAATAATGAAAGGAGATAAATAGAGAGGTAAATCGAGAGGCTTAGATAAGCCTTGTAAATATTTTAGGCCTCTAGTAATGTGAAGCTCTACAGAATTAGGTCTAGAAATTTATCCTGCTGAAACAGTATTGGGCTTAAGCAGCCATTCAGGATCTGCTTGGCATCACAAAGCACAATCTGGCTACAGAAAAGTTTATTTCTCAATCTTCTGGTTGTTTTAGACACAGGGAAGCTGAATGTCTATCCAAAAGCAGCTAATGACCAGGCAAATGAACAAATGATTTGCACTCTTTCAGAGCGTGGGTATCTATAGCAGACGGGTCTTAGTATCTGCTTGCCTGTTCGTTTATTTTTTCAGCAGAGGGAGCAGCTGATTCATTTTGCTTAACTTCATTTGGGCAGTGCCCCTGGACATGGACCGGTTGCCCTGTGGTGACATGCCGGTGAAGCATCTCCTACTTCCTTTTGAAAACTGGCATCTTTCCTAAGTCCCTCTTGATCTGAAGGATTGCAAGGCTTACTGTGAGGCACACCTTCCGTGACATTGGGCAGACACCGTTGCTCTTTCTGTTTGCCATCAGGTAATCTTGCACCGAGAAAGAATTGAGCCTCGTGCGAGCACCGTAGTCTCAGAGTGGCAGATTGTTAACACCGATCTGCTGGTACTCACACATGGCAGTGCTTTAAGCTGACCTTTCCCACCTGACGTATAAGACATTTCTGGTATTAGTATTCTAACCTGCCTTGACAAGCGGATACTGTTGGATGCTACCTCATCCTGCTTGTCCCAGCCTGGTTAGGTAATGGTTCTGCTGAAAAGGAGGGGGGGTGTGTCCTGGTGGACAACACGCTGACTGTGACTCGGCTGCAGACCCTGGCAGTGAGGGAGGTCCCCCTTGGGTAAGGGAAAATGTCCTTCAATTTGTCACAGTGGTGAAGCTAATTATCGTTTTCCATATTCAAAGAAATAACATTTCAAACAGTTCGAGGTTGAGCCTATTTAATTATTACTATGCGTTTATGTATTTACAAATCCTTTGTCTTTTTAGAGAAAAATAAGACTTGGTACTAGTTTGTTTATAGATGAGGGGTTGGTGGCTCCTGCATATGTTTTAATATTTTGTGGCTTGTATTCAGAACATAGTCCTGAAGTTTATTAGAATTATATTCTGAAATTTAAATTATAAAATGAATGAGTTTCTGTTTACGTTCAAAAATACCCTCCATAATGTCATATTTCCTTAAAATGGCAGATTACTTGTTTGTTTCTCAATAAGTATCAGATCAGTTTTTCTTAGCTTACAAATAAATGCTTCGTCACAAATTCAGTGTTGGGTTTGAAAGCAAGTCTAATTTTTTTCCTTCCCTTAACAGTTATAAAACCAAAAAAGCTTTCTTACCTATACATATTAAACCATGACTTAAATCTCAGCTTTCTGATTCTTCCCAGTGCTGCTGAGATGCAAATACAGAAATAGCAAGATAATTTGAGCCCATGACCAGAATTTAGTTAACAGTTCTGTGAATGCACATTCACAGTTTGTTGGCTGTCCAGTATTGACAGATTATTTTTAAAGTGCTGCCTAATGAAGTCCTACAAAAACCTCTCCCAAACTGATTTACATGATTTCTATCACAGGAAAAATATGAAAACTGTCACAAAAAAATAAGAGAAGGGTGGCATATTGTGTCTTGCTTTCATACAGTAAACCTGATTCCTTTAACAACTTTCTTCCTGTGCCCCCATTATGTCTTGATTCTTGAAGCAAATGGCAGATTTCATCCTTACCTGGAACTTTCTGATTTGCACTGATTGCTGTCATAGCCTTTATTCACTTTTGATGTGTCTTCTCACTCTTAAGATCATGGTTAGACAGCAACAGTTACCAACTGACAATTACAGGTATTTACAGGCATGCTATCAAAAGCAAAAATATACATGCTTAAAATGTGGATTTTGAAGCTGAAATAATTTGTTTCCTCTCTTCATGCAATGAAAGCTGCAGCTATGTATTTGGAAACCTTGAAGATACCTGATTTTACATTATTTCAGGTTCAACCACACCATTCTATTGCTGTTACTTTATACTTTTCTCTCCTGCTCCCTTGTTATACTAATTTTGTTTTAATTTTCATTGTAAAAGCATATTGAAGGCTGTCTTCTCTGTGTGTACAAGTATAACAGAACAGAGAACTTCCTCTTTGGAAACCTGACTGTGATATGTCAATAAACAGTGATTAACAGAAGCTCACATCCTCAGTATCTTTTATTTTTCCAATAATTCTGGTATGAAAGCTTGGTGAACCAGCTTGGAGATGGTCTCTATTTGTGAAGTCCCTGAAGAGTAAATCACCACAGAAGGCAACTAAAAATCCTGTTCCTGTGAGTAGCTCCATAGCAGGAGGTTCTGTATTCATATTTCTTATTTCTGAATGTTACCCTAAACACACACAGATGTTCTGGTTTTAGTTACTTTATGTATAAGATATACCAACAACTTAAAATCATGGGTATTACAGATGTTGTCATGGTATATTTAAAACAATTTATCAGAGATGTGTAACATCATACATGTGATAGCACAGAGATGAGTTCAGGTCAATATTCTGTACTTAAGGTCAAGAGGGGAATCTCCGTAAGTGTGTATTCCATCTTTGGCTCTCATTTTTAGTTTTGATATTACACAAAATTAAATAAACTTTTGTTCCTTAATTTGATCTGAACCAATATAATAAAGACTAAAACACCTCACCTACCCAGTACTGAAGAATAACACTTCTCAGCTGCAGGTCTGCTACTTTTCAACCAGAGGGCTGAACCCACACAACCCGCAGCTCCAGGAGGCCAAGCAGGCTGTGCAGGCCCTCGCTTTCCCTCTTTGGCTTCTTCTGCAAGGACCAGTTCTTGCTGGAGTCACTCTCTACAAACAGGTTCTCTTAGACATTCGTCAGGTTATTAGTCCCCAAAACTTAAACTACCAGTTATTAATACTGACCCCATGACCTACTAGCAAAGAACCAATGTCCTGTACAAAGCTGGACTCACCATCTCAGTGTTACCTGTCATTATAAGGATTATGTTGGTATCTTCCTCACTGGTCTGTTTCTTCATCCTCTACAACTGAAGAATTCTGTAGCTCCATTTTTTGGGTGGAAAATGGTGACACCAGTTTTCACTCAGCTGAGGAAAGAAAAAAAAAAATAATTATCTGGCAGTTTTGTGACTGCCTGAAGTTGAATTTAATGAACTGCAGCAAAATCTTTCAGCAACATTAGGTGAGCAGCTGGAGCTAAACCCTACATTTCTGCCTTAAATGGCCTCCACTTACTAGTTGATGAGCAAACCATTAGTAGCAGTCATTTGTTCAATTTTACAGAAATATAAAAGGAAAATTTGCAGCACAAGTGAGAAGTTAATTGTCAATCTCAACTGGCTCTCCAATCCCATTGCAGGATTACAGTGCTAAAAAAAACAGGGCAGAAGTCTAATGGCCTCAAAATTGTAAATGGAACTTTTCAGAGAGGCAAAACATTATTTACATTAAAAATTGCTATACTCAATCTCTGTTAATGCATTCTCTTTGAAATGAGGTGATACTGCAGATGACAAGACTTCCATCTGCCACCTTAGATCAATGAAATGACAGTACAGTGTGTTTCTCCGGAAACCTTCATGGGTCTCATAAAAAAGCCTTATCACCACGTATTAAAAATTGTCTTTATGTTTAAAAAATTCTTATAGCACTATAGCGATAAGAATAGAATATAAGTTATAATAATATTTATTACTACTTGATTTACATTGTTTAAAGTTTTAAAGCCCTACTTCAGTAGCTGTCAATTACAATACAAAACATCCTGGTCATTCCCCACATAAACTGTATTGAATTACGTATGTAAGAAGAAAACACGTATGCAACAGTATTGGGAGTGGGGTTTTTCCAGCAGAATGACAGGACAATTAAATAAAAGTAAATTACATTAAATTGCTTTCAAAGAGGGGAAAAATATTATTCTAAAGAATTCTCCAAATCACTGACTGAAAATTTTCAGATTTTAATTCTCATTGTTTTTTTCAAAAAAAAACCCAGATCTTCCATTTACCATACAATGCCTAAGGACAAGGAAGGGAATTTGTTCACTGTGCTCTCAGTTTCTCTGTGAAAGGCTTGCACAATCCACTGTCTGTGCATTTCTTCATATTTCCATAGCCTTTCTGTGGGGGGAAAGAAAATCTTTCTCCTTTTGTCTTGTTGTCAACATTGTAAATATCTGACTGTCAGTCACATGTATCTATATCCATGTTTAGTTCTTTTGTGTCCTGGAAGTCTTTCGATCCAGCCAAACCATCTGCTAAGAAAAGCATCAACAGAGGAGAACAAGTTGGAATATCAGGAAGAGGATCAGGTGTCTACAATTAATTTGTTTTGCTTGTCTTCATATAGTACAACCGTAGTTTTACACAGATAACTGTAACAAACAGTTATTCTGTGCAGAATAGTGCTTACAACTTCAACATGATTATACAGTGCAGAGAAAGACAGGTCTGGTACAACAGCAGAGCCCGTGAGGAGTGAGGGCAGGCTGCAGCGAAGAGGGCCACAAGCAGAGGATGCTGAAGGAAGGGTCACAGACTGGCACTGGAAACCCCTTGACTATAACTCACCCATGTTCAGTTAAAGAAATGCAGAGCTGGAGCTGAACAGGACTGGTTTTAGGGGTAACAAAGGAAATGAAGAATTAGTATTTAACATATGTAAAAGACACCATATAGTAAATTTGACTTAGTCTGGAACTGCAGACCAATGAAGACAGAGCAAAGGTGTAATAGGGTGTTGTCACACATAAAAAAATAACTCCAAGTTGATCCTAGAGTGAGGAAGAACAAGTCATCAACATGAACACCATATTCCTCAGTGAAGGACTCTAGATGCTGACAATTCGCTGTAACACCCCACCAATGTCACCAGCATGAGATCACCAAGCTCAGCACGCAGAGGAGCAGTGGAGGCATGAGCCTAACACTGGGAGAAGGGCAAGGAACTAGGAGGTGTGTGTATAACAATTTTAACTACATTATCATTCTTTCTTAAATAATTAGATCTTGACTAATAATGGTTAGACTGCTTCGCTTTCCGTTACATTAACAAATTTTTAGCTTTACTTATATAAAAGTATGCTTCCTCTGTGCCCATAAGCAAGACTTTGAGTGTAACAACTCTACAGCAGCAGAGACTATTCTGGGGCAGATGGATGAGAAAAAAGGATAGATGAATTTTTAGGTTATATGAATATAGACAGAATACCTTCTTGGTACATCAAATGTTAAAATTAAACAGAAAAACATGAAAGCCAGGTACACTCTGGCTTTAAATTACTAGAGAAATGTGTAGAAATTAAAGCACAGTTTGTCATTACCTTAAGGGCACATCTTGCTATTCATATTATTCATTGCTATTTAGAAATCCAAGCTAGTTTAGTGCAATCTTTTAATTCAGAACTGAACCAAAAATCCTAAATTTACCAAATCTGCATCATGTGCAAACCAATGTGATGACAGAAGAAAAATCAACAATGACATTTTTGTAGGAAATATTTAAAGTATTAATTACCATAAGCAAGGTTTTTATCTGTATTGCAATGGTACGTGATGTGTCACAAATTGAACTAATTTTGTCTGACTAATATATCAAGGAACTATAAAACTGTTCAATAAGGACACAGAACTTGCTAATGCTAAAAAAAATATAATACTGACTGAGCACACATAGTAAAGAAGCCTATGGGCTAGTTATTGAAAGTACTAAAATTATGAGCAACTGGAACAAAAAAGTGCCTGGAGTGAACCAAATAGTAGCTAGAATTAACTGTAAAACACTGCAAGATAACAGTGGGGGACAAGGAAGAACAAGGGAAAATATGTCATAAAGCAATGAGCCACAGCAAAATCTGATATGATCAAAGACATAACAAAACATGTGACGTGAGACTTCTCTCCGCCAAGAGCAGAGTATAATTATTTCAAAATAACTTGTATTTGTGATAGCAAATAGCCAAATAATGCCTTTAAATATAGCTCAACAAAGAACCGGTGAAGACAGGGACAGCATAAGCAAGGAATTGCTTAGTAGTAGTACAATATACCTTCTTACAAAACAACTTATTAGCTAAATAGCTTGAGTGGAAAATTTGAAATTAATGTTTGAAGAACAACAGAAAATGCAAACTTTTCGTAACACTCCAGAGAGCTTTTTCTTGCATTTACACTACCAAGCCAAGTATCATTTCTCTCAGGACTCCTTAGGCCAGTTGTTGTCCACCAGCCACTGTATCTTGCAGACTTAGGTGGCTTTTTCTTCTAGGATGGGCACCGATTTGCTTTTGAATCTATGCCACCTCTTAGCATCCACTGCTCTTCTAACAGTTCCAGGATGTTCAAGTAAGAAGCAACCGCAATGTATGGTCTACAGGAGGTACCATTGCCATAAATTCATAAAAGGTGAGAAGCCGGAGTGTCTGTTAGTCTTTGCTTTCCTCAGAGCATGATTCACCAAGGGTTACAGTGCACAGGTAAGTTTCTGAAACATGCTTGCCTACCAATAGCATGGTTGAAAGAGTCTTGAGCTGAAGACAGCTGAACAAAATTCTTTTGAAAGAACGATTTGAAGGAGTGCTAATGTCATAATGAGGTGAATTAAATTCCAGCCTATTCAGATATTCAGTGTACCTTGAAAATAAGTCAAGCAAAAACATGTAACTGAAGTGCATTTAGACAAAAAGACTTTGGTATATGGCCCAGATATACGGCCTTGAAAAAGTATCTGTGCAAATTTCAGCTTGAATATTTATGATTTCTAAGACTAAAGTATACTCTTTCCAGGAAAGTAGTAGAAATCCCATCTGGTGAAACATTCACTGCCTACAGCAGTGAAACATTTAGTGAGCTAAACAATCCTGCTAGCCAGGGGAAAGCACTCAGGTCCCCATCATTAGGGAATTCTATGCTGCTGAAAGACCAGGTAGCCTACAGTGACAGTTCTGCTATATTTACCATTATAACAATGTGTTTTGATTACTTTTACCTTCATTAATCTTTATGCAGTTTAGGATACCGTATGTTGACTTTCTTATTTAAAAATACCTGAGAATCCTTTGGTTAGAGACCTTACTTTTTTTTTTTTTTCACTTTAGAGCAGAACCCAAAACAGTGGAACTGAGAAGGGCTGACTGTAAAGTCAAACCCATCC